ATGCCAGTTCCTGTTTGTTTCAGACCTAATGCCACTTCCTGTTTGTTCCAGACCTCATACTATTTCCTGTTTGTTCTAGATTTCTTATCACTTGCTGTTTGTTTCAGATCTCATATCACTTCCTGTTTGTTCCAGACCTCATACCTCTTCCTGGTGGTTGTGGTCTGAGATTCCATGATAAATTTTCTCATAAAGTTTTTCTTATGAAAACACAAATATCCCAACATGCATATCACAAACTGGAGTCCTTTTTATTCTAACCAGTTCTAATATTTTTGTGATTCCATGAATCTTTTGAGTAAAAAATGTATAAAATAAATAAAACAAGACTTGTTTTCAGTGATGCAGAGGGTAAAATCCACAGACGGTTTTGTAATATGAGAACATGTTGAAGATGCTGAGAGGTGTTACTCACAGTTTATGATCATTTGTTTAAAACGACTGAAGTAAATTACTAAAGTACAAAGTATATAAAGTATATGTTTTTAAAGTTTTTGCTTTTTTTAAAATCTCTGTGCCTTTCTGTCTCAGTCCCCTCCCCCACATCTCTGTCTCTCAGCATCCTTCTAAAAATGGAAGTGGGAGTCAGCCAGCAGTAACCTAGCAACAGCAGCATCTCTCAGGGGAGCATGATGTAATGCTTCCTTTTACACGGATGATGAAGGAGACATAGTGAAAGGAAGAGGAGGGAGAGACAGAAGTTTCTCTAAAGAGGTGACCTGAGGGCATTTGCAGTTCTGACCCTGACGCAACCCTAAACATTTTCATACAATCAACCTTTTCAATCTGCTGCTGACCCAATCCTGTCTGGAGTTAAAACACTCAGTTCAGCTCTCTGTAGTGTTCTGTCTGATCCCAACTTGGTTCTGACTCCTTCCAGTTTGGTTCTGTTGGGCAGCATGACGCTTACTTTAGCTGGAACAAGTCAGATAATCATCCATCTCCCAGTGTAACCAGAAAGAAATTAGAGGAACAGGAACCAAAGAAAGACCTGCCTTAAGATTTTTGCAATGATTTTCGTTTTGTGACAAAAACTGGCATCTCAGATGTTTTAATTGTTTTCAGACTTAATTTTTCTGTCCTCTGCAGCCCTGGAAACACTTTGAGATAAAAAAAAATCTCTCTAAAACGTCCTAGAGGAATTGAAACGACAAACGGGCCTCGTGTGTAAATCTGAATTTACACTGGTCAATAGGACTTCCCTTCAAAATAAGAGCCCGATTCTGTTCTGTGGCTTGAAAAAAGATGGAGGAGGCCAGGCTGGAGAGAAATGTTTCTCATTTTAAGGTTTGAAACAAATAAGGTGTGATGGAGCCAAATGTGTTTTGAGTTGATCTGGCTTTATTGAAATAATGACTCAAAGAAAATCATTGATTTTAGTTGATTGTATCACAGATTTTAGTTGATTTTATCATTGATTTTAGTTGCACTCTGTAGCACTTTGAGATTTTTGTTAATGAAAAGTGCGTTACAAATTAAATTCATTATTATTATTATTATCAAAGACAAAATGGATAAATAAAAAAAACACATGACACACTTGGCACATGTGACATGAGAAACAGTGAGACACACTGAGACAAATGAGAGACATAAGGCACATGAAAGAAATGAAACGTGAGACAAATGTGACACACTGAGAGGTGAGAAACACAAGACATAGATGAGACACAAATGAAACATGAGACACTTGAGAAACAATAAGACACATGAGACACATGCGAAAAGTAAAACACACTGAGACAAATAAGAGAAGTGAAACAAAATAAAAGTGACACATGAGTGACAAGAGACATGTAAGACACTGAATCAATGAGAGACATGAGCTACAAAAGACACTGAGAAATGAGAGTTAAGATACACTGAGAGACATGAGACAAAAGACACACTGTGGTATGAGAGAAATGACATACATTGAGAGACATGAGACACATAAGACACTGAGACAAATAAGAAATGTGAGGCACATGAACACAAAAGACACAGTGAGACATGAGAGAGATTATACACAGAGACGTAAGACATACTGAAACAAATAAGAGATGTGAGACACAAGACTTGTGACACATTTTATACACTGATGTAATTAAAGAGACAAGATAAACTAAGAGACACAACACATAGGACACGTTGTGAAAAATAAGAGATATGAGACAAATGAGATAAAAAGAGAGATTCATGAGACTGATGAGAGACACTGAAACACACCAAAACACACTGACACTCAAGATAAAAAACACAAATGAGAGACATGAGACACATGGAGGTGGGGCATAAGACAGACAAAAGACATGTTACACAAATGAGAGATGTTTGACATGACAGATGAGAAAGACACATAAGAAATGAGAAATACTGAGAAACATGAGACACAGTAAGATGAGAGATGACACGAGACAAAGGTTTACCTGAGGATCAGCCAGGACTCAAACTCTGTCCATCCTTCCTTCACCGTTCTTCAGTGTCCCCCTCCCTCCTTACTTTTGTCTTCCCTGTGTTCAGAGAAGAAGGGACTAAGCTTCCTGTCGTCTTCTCAGATGGACGAATGAAGCTTCCTGTCGTCTCAGAAGGAGGGACGAAGCTTCCTGTTGTCCTCTCAAAAAGGGGGACAATGCTTCCTGGCGTCCTCTAAGATGGATGGATGAAGCCTCCTGTCGTCTTCCCAGATAGAGGGACCAGACTTCCTGTCATCCTCTCAGATGGACGGAGGAGTCTTCCTGTCGTCTTCAGATTGCTGCAAAAAAAAAAAAAAAAAAAAGATTCTATTTTTTTTCTGCAGCTGCGATTTTCTGCTTTCACCCTTCAGCACTTCCTTCCTTCCTCCCTTCCTCCCTTCCTTCCTTCCTTCCTTCTGTCATACATCCTCACGGCTGAAAGAATCTCAGCTCACACACACTCATACACACACAGCCTCACACTCACACACCCTTTAGTCTCAAACGACGGTCGTCTCAAGATGCAGGAGGCTGAAACCACGGCAACCTGACAGCATCCTCAGCCTGCTGACTCCGCCCCCTGCTGCTGATGCTGCGTGTGTTTGACACTCACAGAGCAGCATGTTTCTGTTGCGCTGTGTGTTTTTGTGTGTGTGTGTGCTCCTATTTGATGTCACGTGATGGTTCATCATCATCATCATCCTGTGATGTCACAGATTTGTCAGTTCTGACAGGAAGCGTCTTGAAAGAACAAATTTAAGGTCCTGATCTGGATTTTTTTCTTGACACCAAAACAAAAACGGGTTCGTGTGTAAGTCCAGTTTGAGGATTTAAAATCAGCAACAAGCTAGACCAGTTAGACCCACTCTCCCAACTGGTTTTTGGCTGAGAAAGGTTCCAATCTAAACCAGCGTCTGCAGACCTGAGGATACTTAGCGATCAGTATTTAGTAGCTTAATTCTTTTTTTTGATAATTATGAGCATCATAAGACTCATAACAGATGGAGAATCTAAAGGAAGCATTTTTTTAAACATTTGATAAAATTCCTTCATCAGCTCTTTAATGTCTTCAATAGAGGACTTGAACATTTTACATGTAGACACCAGTCATGTTTCTAAATCTACTTTCCTCCAGAGACCGTCTGGACTCACCATCAGGGACAGACTGAAGAGGTCAGAGTTGCTCTTCTTCCTCATCAACAGGAGCCTTCTGAGGTTTGAGGCATCTGGATGTCTTCTCCACGCCTTCCAATGGGCTTCTGACATGTCCCAGCAGGAGGAGACCCTGGACTCTGGAGAGACCACTGCCCATCTGTTGCTATGGCAACACAGTCAGGGATAAAGAGTGAAGATGGATGATGGATGATGGATGGATGGATGGATGGAACCAGTCCAAACAAACAGAACCAGATCAGGTTTCTCTGATATTTTTTAATCATTCATATTTCTGTCCTCACTATTTCTTACCTTGCTTCCTTTCCTTCTGTGAGTCACGTGACTTTCAGTTTGACGTCAGCACATCGTTCTGTTTTGTCCAATCACAGGGTCTGCCCATGGTCATGTGACCTCAGGTGTTATTACATAATTAAGATAAATTTTATTATTCTTTCTGTTTGGTTCTGCTTCATAATTTTTATTATATTATGATATAATTTTATTATATTATATTATAATATATCAGCAGCCTCACCACCCTCAGCGGTACTGCGCATGCGTGTCGTTCTGCAGCAGTCGTGTGTTAGTGTGTGTGTGTGTGTGTGTGTGAGGGAGAGTGCGCGCACATTGCTTGTTCGTGCGTGTATGTGTGTGGGCGCGCGCGCTGTTCCAGTCCAAGCATCCCTGACAGATCTGACGGAGCTCTAACCCGGTTCTTAATTAGCCCGGCTCGGATCAGACTCGACCCACCGAACATGTCGTCCAACGCACAGGACCAGAACCAAGAAGCGAGCAAAGAGCCGAACCAGGAGCCGAACCAGGAGGCGAAAGAGATGCAGGGGGAGGAAAAGGATGCGGCGAAGGAGGAGGTGAAGGAGGAGAAAACCGAGGAACCGAAGGAGGACAAGAAGGATGACAAGAAGGACAAGAAGGAGGACAAGAAGGACAAGAAGGAGGACAAGAAGG